GAAATGTCAATTTTTGGAAACTTCTATTTTGAGAAGCATATATTTTTAAAAATCCCTATGAAACTTCTATTTTGGAAAATTTTCATTTTCAGAAACTTTATTTTACAAATATTCCCAATTGTTTGACGATGACAACAAAGGTAATTTCGTGAAGGAAAATTTATATTAATAGACGTAGATTATAATACCCTAAAATCCTTTATAGTTGTTAATTATTGAAATTAGGACCTTACAACAAGAAGGTGAAAGTTAGGGAATCAAATTTCATATCGATCAATATATATATATATATATATATATATAAGTACGCAATTATAGTAATGCTATAATTTAAATCAATCGGTCATAATTATATATAATCATGTACATATATAGACATATGTAATTATAGTAATCGCATAATTTAAAACAACCACTTACAATTATATACATAAATGGATGTACGTAATTATGGTAATTATATAATTTATATCAATCAATCATAATTATATATAATTCTACTTATGTATATCACACATATATGGCAATTTACTTTATACATATATATATATATATATGTATAAAGTAAATTGCCATATATGTGTGATAGAATTATATATAATTATGATTGATTGATATAAATTATATAATTACCATAATTACGTACATCCATTTATGTATATAATTGTAAGTGGTTGTTTTAAATTATGCGATTACTATAATTACATATGTCTATATATGTACATGATTATATATAATTATGACCGATTGATTGTAAGTAAATTTCCGTATATAAGATAGGAAAGCAAGAAACGTTCCTTTCTAATTAGGTAAACTACCATATATGTGTATACTTTTATATGATGACTAAAGTGTATTTAAATATAATTTAATTAATTAATTGCAATGGATATTGTCTATTTAGATATTGATTTTAATTGGGTTCTGTTTGACATGAACATCTCTTTTTAATTGGAATGTGCTGTTTTAATTGGATTGGATAAAATTTTAAATTAATTTATTTTCAATTTATTTTTTGCGAACATTTTGATGGTTTGAAATGGACTGCAATGATTGAAATCTAAACCAAACCACTTCACAACGGATTGATTAGGTTTAAATACAAAACTTTGTCAGATCTAGGTGTACCCAAACCAACGATTTCATAGAATTGGTTTTGCTTTGATTTTGTGATTTGACGGTTTCGTTGTTCAGTCCTACAATGAAGTAGGAGGGTTCTATGCCAACTCCATCTTCTTTCAATATTGTTAACTCGATTGGTTCCATTATGATTAGTAATTTCATGTATACATGCTCTTCTCTTTTTATTGTTGGTTCCACGTGTTGAATGATCGGTCTACTATCCGAAAATTAGAGCAATTACACAAAGAAGTTTTTATGAAGAGTCTCCATTTCTTGTTGAGGATTCTAAGATTGTCGCTATTTTGACCTTCCGGCCAACAGAAATGCTCCCAATCTAGTCTTTGTGTGTTGAAAATTTAATGCATGTATATATCACTTGAACTTTTTTGAGTGCCAACCTTTTATAAATCACATTCATCTAAAGGCATGTTATCGTCAACAATTTTGGCAGATCCTCTTAGGGAAATTTGCTATGTTCATCATGTACTTAGTAGCACGGTAATACTCGTATTAATCCCAATGATAAATCATCCTCATAAACTTCGTTTACACATTGTATTTGGTAACTTGGTAGTCCCAATATTACACCCAATGGCAGGTGATCCTCGTTAATTTTGACATGTAAATCATATCTCTTCATTTTAAAGTGTGATAGGACAGAGAAATCCTCCATATATGTTTGTATCTTCATCAATTATGTGGTTTCCTTCTCGTTTTGTTGTTGTGCTCTTATGTTGCATGGTCTTTGAGAATGTTCTTTAAGACTTAATTTGTTTTCATAAATTTGAAATGTAAATCATCTCTTCATTTTAAAGTGTGATAGGACAGTGAAATCCTTCATAGAAATGCGTATCATCTTCATCAATTTTGGAGTGTCAATCTCATTTTATTGTGCTCTTGCGTTGCATGGTCTTTGTGAATGTTCTTTAGACTTAATTTACTTCCATAGATCCACATCCTTCATACAGATGTAGTCGTATCGTATGTGAAAATAGTTTTAATATTGCTCGAGAGAGATTATTATACAAAATAGTTATCTTAATCATCAAGACAAAAAAAAGTATTGTTAGTTACTTGTATTCATATTAAAGTGGAATAATATGGAAGAGATTCGAGATCTTAGTGATTTTAACTAATTGAGTTTTCATAGAAGCTTTGTAGTTTGGTTACGTCAGAAGTTGGGTGCGGCCTGAATTCCTTGTTAAAATAATTGTAGAGTTCTAATCGAAATACATATCAAGAGAAATTCTAAATTGCAAATTTTGTTCGAAATTTCTTTTACTGATGGTAGCAATAAAGTATGACATTTCACTTTTGCATCACAATATAAGATTTTCGTTGTGACAAGTGAAGATGTGAGCTATTTTGGTGCCAATGAATTTGGATGATGTATTGTTTGGATTTGACAAGATGCCCACAACTTGGACAACAAATGAGAAGCAATGGACGGATCGAAAGGCTCTTTCGTAAATATATCTTCATCTTTCTAACAACATTCTTTAGGACGTTTTGAAGGAGAAGACAATTGCTATATTATGGTTGAAATTGGAACAACTTTGCATGACCAAAAGTCTGACTAGCAATTTGCATCTGAAGCAGAGGCTGTATTCTCATTGCATGATAGAAGGCAGATCGTTGGAAGATCATCTTGCCATGTTCAAGAAGATAGTTGCTAATTTGGAAACGTTAGAGGTAAAGTATGATGAAGATGTCTTGGCCTTGATCCTGTTGTGCTTGCTCCCCTCTTCATATTCATTGTTTAAGGACACGATTCTGAACAGCCGTGACACACTCACCATTAATGACGTTTATGATGCTTTATTCTTAAAGGAGAAGATGAAGCATCTGGTTGGAATTGAATCTAGAGGTGAAGAAGCTCTTTTATTCATGGTGATCGACGGAGGGTTAAGTCGAGAGTGACCTTCAGCAATCAATTCTGCTTCTATTGCAAGAGGAGATGACACGTCAAAAAGGATTGCAATAAGTTGTAGAATAAAGGTAATCGCCTGCAACTCATAGGAAGCAATCAGATCATTCAAACGAGACTAATATTGTCGAGGGCTATTTGGATGGCGGAGACGTGGTCTTGACCGTATCTGACTTGAAATCTAAGCTTGACATTAGTGGATTTTGGATTCAACTTTTTTGTTCCATATGTATCCCAATCGGGACTTGTTTAAAGCATATGAGATGGTGATGTAAGGTGTAGTTGTCATAGGATACAACATACCTTGTAGGGTAGCTGGAATTAGAAGGGTCAAATTGAGGTCGAAGGATGGGTCAGTTAGATATCTTGGTCAAGATTGACATGTTCCAAACTTGAAGAAAAATCTCATCTCCCTGAGTACCCTAGATGTGAAAGGATACACGTTCTCTGGAGGAGGTAGAGTCTTGAAAGTCCGAAGGGGTGTCCAGGCTGTGTTGGAGGGATGGAAGAAGTCTCAGTTGTATTTTTTGCAAGGTCGCGTAGAATCAAGTAAGAAACATCTACATAGGTTTGGTACCATGGTGGACATATAGTTTGGTACAGTATCTTTTGGGTTTGGCTCTGATTCGTCGAGGAACACTACTCAAGAGAGTTTTGATGATATGGGTAATTCCACTTTGCCACCAGTTTCTACGGTTCCATTATTTTCAATTGTTAGTGGAAGATTCATTGAGAATAGGTACGGTGTTGTAGATGTTGGTATTTCTGCTTTCGGTGTATTTGAAAGTGTCGGGCAAGGGGCCTTCAATTAAGCATTTTGGTGTGGATTCTGCTACACGGTGTGTTTCGACCATGTTTAGTAAATTTTGGATTCCTTGTTGGAATTTTGGGAACCCAGGATTTGGGTTCGGGTATCGCTTGTGGATACTGGGGTGGAGTAAGAATATTTTTATGTGTTGAAGAGGTTTGGTTCTAGTTGAAGAGTTCAGTTTATTTCGCTGTAGTCGAACTTATTTTTTCTGGTGGAGAAATTTTGGAGCTTTGTTCGTTGTAATGGAATTCGTGTCAAAGTAGAGATTGTTAAAATTTGGGTGTAACCCGAATTCCTTGTTGAAATAATTGTAGAGTTCTATTTGAAGCGCAAATAAAAAAGAATTCTAATTGAAATGCTATTGAAGAATCCTATTCAAGTTTAATTGTTAGATTCTAGTTAAAATTCTGTTTGGAAACTCTATTGAGAGTTGAAATTTGTTTTGGACTTAAAAAGATTAAAATAAGAAAACTTTTTACATTTTATTTCATGTACAACTCTACTTGTAGGGATTGGATTGTTTTCTATAAATACTAGACCTTTTTTTTTTTTTTTTTTTTTAATCTGTGAATCCATAAAGTATTATTGCTAATGTCGCTTTTTCTCTCTATTAATTGTCAATTAATAAAATTACCCTGTTTCTCTGTCAATCTCTCTTCTTTCTTTAATTTTGTTCTTGCATATGCGATCAATACTTAATATCGTGCTATACTTACTTCCCCTTTTTTTCTCAACAGGTTAAACGTTTGAGATTTAGTAATAGAATTTACTTTGCACTAATCACTTTTCATAAAGTTGTGCCATTTTCGATTATTGTTAGTATTAATAGGAATATAAAGCACAGCCGGTGTGAAAATGATATATTACCGACTCTTTATTATCTGTCTAACGATACCATATACTTTCGGGATTTTAGAATAACAGGATGTAATGAATGTCAAGATAGAAGATAGTAGTATAATTTAATCTTGTTGTTTCTATAGTATATTGAAAAATGGTCCACTTTTTGAAGAACTCCAAAACTTTTTATTAATTTATCTAAAAAAACCAAAAAACCAGTTAAGTTATAACTTGGGTTGAAATTGTATTTGCTAAAACAGAAAACCCTAATCTAATAAAAAATGCAGTTAACTTTGATAATTAAATTACAAGCCAGCAAAAATTAAAAATAACTAAAGGAGCATAATAGGGGGACTGCTTCATCGTCTATTAAACAAAGCTATTATAACCGTATTTTCTATGAATTTACAGAATCAAAAAGGGGGATTACTCCCAGTAATCAGTAAATTTGTCAACCTATATGAATTATGGTAATGTACGACTAGTGTCAACAATATTCCCAAGCTAATATTCTTCATTTGACTAATTCCAGGCTAATATTTAAAGGTGTTTGATTCAAGCCTTTCCTCTCAACAAGTGGGGTCTAAGCTTATTGACATCAGATTGTTGAACTGGCTTCAAGAAGAACTCTTCTGCTCCTTTCTCTAAGCAGCTGTTAATTCTTGAAGGAAGATCTTCAGAAGACATTATTACAACTGGGATGTTCTTTAATGATGTCGATTCCTTGATCTTTCTCAGGAGATCATAACCAGTAATTCCAGGCATACTGTAATCTGTAATGACCAAATTGACTTGTACTTGGTGATGATTTTGTGTTGCAGAATGGGAGGTTGAATCAATGCTTCCATTTTTATCATCCAGCAACCCCAGAAACTCAAGAGCCTTTACTCCAGATTCCACAACAGTAACTGGAATTAATAATCAAAACCGTCATAAAAATTCAATTTATTATAATTATAAAATTAAAAGTACAAATCAAAATTCAAATCAAAATTTGATAAGAAATATCCAATACAATAATTCAGGGTATTTGGATTTACCTTGATAAGAAGAAGTCTTGAGGAGCCTCTCAATCAACTTTCTATCAACGATGCTATCATCAACTGCTAATACATGGAACTTTGTTTCTAAAGATACTCCACCTTTTGCCATTCTTTTTATCAGTATATATGAACAATAGAAAAACTGGTCAAAATTAATCTGACTGCAGAATATTGATAGAGAATATGATGGGTGATTTGATAATATATATGAGGAGGGTTTGATGAGATGAAAAGATATATGAGATCCCACCAAATATCAATCAGAATCTCCCATATCTCTAATGTTGAATTTTAAATATGAACGTTTCACATATTAATAGATACTATGGCTCTTTGGGTAGGCAAAGGGCAGTATTGTTGTCCCTTCACCTTTTGTTTAAGCTAAGCATACCTCTTAATGCATCCTTTCCATCTGCATGTGCAAAATATTTTTTAAGCTATTTTCCCACTCATTTCTTGATTTATTAATAATTGTTGAAAAAGTTCATTAAGTTTCAATGTATTGCTGGTGTATTTGATCCCTATTTTATGATTGGTTAAAAAGTTGGAAAAAGTTTTGAGTTTATGTGTAAAATTATTTTATAAGAAAATGTATGGATGAAAATGAGTTTTGAGAATAATGGAACTCAAACAATTATATTGCTGATTTTTTAATTTGTGAAACAGTGGAAAAAAGTGCACAGGTTAGGTGGTAGCCAGCTCGACCGATAGGGATGGTGAGCAAATTTGTCCAAAATATCTGAGCTGTGAATTTTATTATTTAGATTTATGTGTAAAATTATTTTAATTCATATATAATAGTAAGAAAAACAGTATTCTACCATTTGACAAATCAAGCCATTATATGTTTAATAATATTGAGGTTTGACTCAGAATTCTGGAAATTCTCAACTATATTTCTAATATATTTTTGCGTTCTACCATATTCAAATGCACAAGTCAACTCTGTCCTTTATAAAAATAATTATTATATTCACGAGTCAATGCCTAATAACCAAAATGTTTTTTCGTTTTCTATTATTTCATTTAAATAGGAAAATAACTGTTGAGAAAATAAAGAGTTCTTTGGTACATTACATTAAACATAAAGGGGAAAAGTCATTGGCTCTTGACATTTCTATCTTATAAATTCATCATTGCTAATAAAATAACTCAAATCTTTAAATGTTGTTTAATGTTTTTTATATTTTAACAATGTGATATTCTCCACGTCCTCATAAGATGGCAAATCGTTGGAGAACATCGATTTCAAAATTCCAATGCTCATTAGTTTTAGATGAATTGAGTTTCTCATTTAAGCATGTTGACTCACTGATGCCATACAGGGTCTCAAGGTTCATCTTACTGTCAACCTTATTAAGATAAATAGCCTAAATCCTATATATTTGTTAAGGTTGTACTACATGTACATCACAATTTATAAATTTATTAACCAACATAAAATATGATGAGATTTGATAAAATTTCATCAACCAAATAAAAGAAAAAACTTTCCCATTTTCTTTTTGACACATCATCAAAAAAATTATGTGAATGTAGTACAACAAGAATTTTTTAATTTGCTAAAGCTTTTATACTTAATTGATTTGAGATTCATCTCATGACTTAAAATATATTGCATCCATTCTTTAATCCAAATGAATATTGTCAAGTATAGCTAATATGATAAAATACTATGAAGTATGCTACAGATACATGCACATCTGTTCTTCAAAGAATGTATCGCCAAGAAACAATTTTTTAAGTGATTTCATTTCACCTAAACAATATTAAAATTAATGAATCGCCAAGAGAGAGATACAAATACATGTAGCCTTCCGAAGTGCAAAACACCATCCTATCATGATTGCCTTTCACCTAAACACCTTTGAGATTATTAATTTATTTACTTTATTAATCATGAATTAGGTAAGAACTAATCAAAGCTCCAAATGTTGACCTTTTAACTTATTAAGAAATGAGTTGGCCGCATTTGAAGTTGAAAATAGTGCGACCCCTTGGCAATACTAACAAGAAAACTTTTGATACTGCTTTAAAAACTGAATTGGCAGGGGAGGGTGAGGGGGGGGGGGGGGGGGGGGGGGGAGAAAAAGAAAAGAAAACCACGAAAAATGACGAATAATCTTTTCGATCTTCAAGATAGCAAGAAAGATATCGAAAATTGAATGAATTATTAAATTTAGTATGAATTGTATTTGGAAAACCACATTGTAAGTCAAATAATAACCACCCTCCCTATTAAGGAAAATAAATATAGAATTTAGACAAAGGGTAACGGGTTTATAAGGAACTGAGCTACTCTACCTAATGGATTAACATTTTCGATAAAATTTCAATTCCCTAAAAGAAGTATGAGAGCTAGATCCGAAATGTATCAATGTGGAGCTTGGACAGATAAGACGAATCCTCGGTTGCAACTGAAGAAATGTGGTGGCCCCTTGGTTAGATTGAGTTGGTCGAAAAAATTAATCGGCTATTAGTGTTGGGTTGTGTGCCCACATAGTATATCTTGCTATGATAAAATAATAATTTATAATAAATAAATTGTGATATTATTTATTGATTGCATTTATTTATTATTGAGCATGCGAATTAAAGTGTCGTTGATCACTTGTGATAATATAAATTGGGTACTTGCGTTGAGAAGTACAGTGTGCCACAACTTATATTTTGATCATAAATAAATTATTCACAACCAATGTATAAGAGTTGACACCTTGTACCGAAAGGTTGTAGCGTTAACCGATTCACCATTCAGATTTGTAATTTATTCTTATTACAAAAATAATTAAAGATGATACTAGTACACTTTGAGTGTATTGAACGGACCATGTGCCAAGTTTAATTCTATAAATGATCGTGCCGAGAATTAATTTTCACTTTATGTATATATTTTCGTAATTTTAGTAGTTCTTTGATTCATCATTGGGTGAGATCAATTAGTTTATTAGACTATTGAAGAAAATTATACTTAAGTTAGTAAGAATAATTAGAATGGCACAACGGTCATTATGCTCGTACTAATTATCAGATCTTGGATAGAGGATAAAATATGTCTATGAAGGCACGTCAGTGGAAAGTTGTACGGATTTATAGGCTATTGTGATCTTATATTTTCCAAAAAATCAGTTTTTTTGCTTTTAATGGAAAAAAAGCAAAGGCTAATAATTAGATTGGTTGATCTAAGTTTGACTAGATGTTCACGAAAATATCTTTCGATTTAAATTTGCAAGTGTACGGTTTGTAACAAGTAATAAAGTGAAAATTTGAGTTCAAATGTTATCTCACAGAGATTGAGTAGTTTAATTTTGCCTAACTTGACCTTAGCCGAAGTCGATATGTCAAATGTGATTTTTTGTAACTTAAACTAAATATGCAAATACATTTGAATCGAATGAACTAAAATGCAAAATGGACGTTTTAACGCAAGTTTGATGTAATCAATGAATATAAAGCGCACTAGGATCACGAATCCCCAAGCAATGCTCATATTTAACCTTAGTTCCACAATTTGACAACACGTTGAATTTTTGAAGAATCAATGTTCCTATATCAATTCAACAATCTCTCTCAAGTAATGTTGAACCTACTCTCATATACTACCAACCTATATCTCTATGACGGGTGCAAATATACAAGAATGCATGTAATTTTGTGAGCACTTAAAGATTCACGCAAGACATAGAAGTATATCTCTATTTCCAATCGAATCCTATGATTATTTATACTCTGTCGAACTTATTCCCCTTCTCTCGAATGCATAAAATAAGTCACTACACACATAATTACGTGTACATAATCATGGAAAGAAATTAATTGTATATAACCATTCAAACAATTCCATAACGTGTTTTTGATGTCAATATTGTAAAACAAAAAATCAAAAATTCACATTATAGGGTTCATTAATCTCCTAATACATAAAAATCTAGCTTAGCATGGAGAAACAAACAAAATACACAAATACTTTAAGAAATGACATCACCGGTGTAAGAATTGGTGTATAATCCCATCGATCTTCGCATTTTTCTTCATTATTGTGGTGCAAAATTACCTCCAAGATGTGTTATTCTTTCTCCCAATGCCTTCTCTTTAGGGACAGCCCTATGGTTTTAAAAATACTTTCCAAGATTTGTTTTCCATCAAAATTTCAGTCGGAATAGGAAATCATAAATTTTTCATTGTGATTGGCCTGGGCAGTTGCTCAGGGGAAAGTTTTTGCCTCGCTAATGTTCCTTAATGTTGACCGGTCCCCCAGTTATAAAAACTTTCGAATGTCGCATTTTGATCCCCAAATTTAATTCTTGATTCTTCTAGATCCTTTCTACTTTTTTCTTCTCCCAGTACTTCAAGTCCTCACTAAATTTGTCCTTGAGTTATTCACATCGTCGTTACTGCTTTCGGTTCATCTTTTGGCTATTTACGCTTTGGTCCTTGAACTTTTGTTTTCTTTCATTTTGGTCATTTTTCTTTTCTTTTCTCTTTAATTCTCTCACATTCATCAATATAGTCCTACAAAACATAATTACATAGAATTAAGCTGTATTCAAATACTTTTATCAGTAATTTATCATATTTTGTGGCCAAAGAAGTGTAAAAACGCACTTATCAAGACCTATCTAAATATTGGAGTTTGGATAATATATGTCTGATTAGATCCCTGTGTTAGCTCTATAAAGTATTGAAACTTAATTACGATAATTATAATGATTTTGACCTTAATCGTAATTATAATAAAGTTTGTAAGCTATAATTACTATGAAAGTCGTAAACAAAATTATAATTGTAATTGAAGTTCTAGAATTACACATGTAATTAAATATAAATTAATTGGCTATGGACTTTAATCAAAATTCCTACTTGAATTTTAACTAATACTCCTATTTGAATGTGAAATCATTGCTATGCAAGGATTGAAACTATTCATCTCTATAAATAGAGATTAGATGAAGCCTAGACATCCTACGAGATTGAACAACAATTATAATACATAATTTCATGGTGTTTAAATTTGGAGAGAAAAATTCCTTGATAATATTTCCCTTCTTCTCGAAGTACATGAATTACAAGTTCTTGTCAACAAGCTGAAAGCGATTAAAATTGAGATCTTGAAATCTTTGCAAGTGGGAGAAATCATTGGAAACTCCAGGGACTTAGAAATGATATCAAAAGAAATTCATACATAGTTCCGAAGATTACTTTTTAGAACAATTGCAGAACCATCTTCTAATTGAGGAAAAGTCATAGGCAAGAGATAAGAATGACATTTTTTGTG